TAAATAAATAAATAAATAAGCAAACAAATAAGCAAACAAACAAATGAATAAATAAATAAATAGATAAATAACAAAAAATATAATAAAATGTACATACAGATCTACCTTTAAAAGAGGAAAACATTCAGAGCAATGCTAACTAGAAGGGTTTTGTCACACTGCTCAAACAAATCATGAGATAGATAACAATGCTATCCCTTGGTAGACTTTGATCACAATTACTAAAATTGCTTTGTTTGTTCGTCTCGTATGTTTGATTAAAAATAAGCAAATCGACTCACCAATGGTCATTTTGTGCTGGGAAAAAGTAAGACGGACAGACAGACAGAAACAACAGAGGGAAAGTAAAGAAGTACCAACAGTAGGACCCTCCAACCACTTGCTGAAATTGCTTGCAGTTGGTATGTGTCGTGTCAACTTGCTAACAATAACATCGGTTTTTGTACAACGACAAAGAACAGCCATACTGTAGGTGATGTCACTACGGTCCTTTTTGTAGTGCATTAATTTTCACACTTGAACCTCTGTTCTTTTGTCTGGTTGACGGTTACGATGATCTGAACGTACGAAGCTCGAATCCAACATAATATGGCGATCGGAAGAGTTATCGAAATGTTTGGACTATACTTTCCTTTCTGCCCAGTGTCCCGTTTGGCATGAGCGGATCAACTATCACAATGGCAAGCGCCAAATTAAGCTTGAGATTCAATAAAAACAATTTTCGAAAAAGTTACCGCTTACTATGATGTTGATATAATAAAAATACGCATGATCATAAAGAAGGAATCGAAAGATCCGATTTGAGCTCTGACCCTGAGGCGACATTTGACGTCTCGGTGACTTCCCCAAGTTTCTGTGTTGTATGACATCATTACGGTTCAACTTTCGATTTCGGTGAGGTACAATCATGGACATCGCATACACAGCCTAAAGCAGGGGCGTCAGTCAACTCAATCGTTCAGGGAAAAGGGGGAGGGCAAAGTCAAACTACACTTGACTTATGTTTCAGGACCGACCTGGATAAACACTAATTGAGCAGCGGACAATCAAATCTTTATTATTATTTTTTTGGTTTTTTGGTTGGTACCATGAATTAAAACAGGCAAAATTTAAAATGGTAACAAATCAAGGCAAACCGATTCTCGCTGTTACGCTAATTTGTAAGAGCTGAGTGGTTTGGCAGCTTTTCTTCGCAACAAGTTCTTTAGGCTTGGGTTTAGAATAAAAGGTTCTGTGGTTCTGTGCCATGGAGATTCTTAGGATGGGCTACCTAAAATACTCTCATGGGTCGGATATTACTCTTTGCAGGGCCGGGTGCGGCCCGCTGGTCCTAAGTTTGACGTTTATGGCCTAAAGAAAATGAAATGTGAGGTATCTTGGTGAAATCAGGCGCTCTTCAAAATAATGAAATCGAAGAAACTGGCATTTTTCTTCCCGTTTGGCCATTTTAATTGAATTTTTAAATTTTGGCTCAACACCTTTTATGTCCATTAAAAACACACTGCTGTGTGGATTTTACTGAAAAACATTGTAAGGCACCAACATTTTTTTTAAACTTACAGTTTCCAAGGACCTTTAAGCTTTGGTAGTCATCAAACTTTGGCTGCCATTTTCTCGCTTATTTTACCTCCTTCAACCTCTAGTATTTCGACCTCTATTGAAGATAGATAGGTAATTTTATAATCGAAAGCAAGACAAACGAGCAAGCTTTAAGGTGATACAATTAACTCCATATGTTCCCGAACTGACGAGCGCCTGATTCAACTGCTTCGTAGTACAAATGACAAGACAGTCTCACCATCGTCCCTATTTTCTGGGAGCTTATGGGGGAAGCACATTTCTGTACAGTTGCTCACGGCATAGTCCACATTGTTAATGGACAGCACAGAATCTTCCCTCACGAAGCTGACATAAGTGTCCTTGATGAGGTCTCTCTGCGTCTCAAAGGCTGCTTTCAAGGAGAACTTTATTGGGATCTCGATGGTATTCTTGTTAAGACATCTCGGCTTCACGTACATATCTGTCACGCACAAAAAGGATAAAGAATATTGAAAGCAAGCAATTTATGTGGTAAACAGGGCCAATAGAAGTCATTTACCCCCCCCCCTTCCCCCCTTTCCAAGTCGCGCATCACGACAATCAGAATCAGAGCCCACTTGTTCCCTGTTCTTGTTTGACGTCCGTTATATTATTACATTCAGAGTTTCAGAGGTGAAGGCCTAGCTACAGGCATTTCCCGCCAAGAGTTCCCTCCTCCCCCCTCCCCCCTTTCCACTACATTGTACTTCGTTTCAGACAGAGGTAGACAACCGCTGCTTTCCGTTGTCTCAGCCGTCCATTTTGCTATTGCCTCATGCAAAGTATGATTACGGAAAATGGAACACTTATTATGACGATCGTTATACCGTGCCTTTGAAGCCGCCTCTAGCAAGGTGTTTGACGTTTAACTCCTCGATAAGTAAAGTTGATTACTTCATGATAACTTATTTCACTTCGAAAATATCACACAGACCCTCCCACCCCACCCCCTCTCTCTTTATCTCGGTCTCTATCTTTCCTGGTCTCTCTCAGAGTCTCTCCCCCCTCTCTCTCCCTCTTTCTTTCTCTCTCTCTCTCTCTCTCTCTCGATCCCTCCTTCTCTCTCTCTCTCTCTCTCTCTCGATCCCTCCTTCTCTCTCT